GATAAAAACTGCTACTTAAAATGCATATCATGTTTTTATAGTCAATACTACAGTGACCACAAATCTCACGGATTCAGGTCATACATGCTCACTGTGTCTGGTGTGTTTTGTCTTTGCAGTTGTTGGAGGCTAACAGGGTCAAGTTCTACATGCTGAATGAGGTGTCGGAGATGATTGGCCATCATGGACAGGTATTCAGAAAGTGAGAGAAACAGCATGACATGATGCTCAGAAGCACTGTCCTCTCATTTAGCCTGATGAAGATGTGTCGGATCAGAGAAACGAGCTGTTTGGAAAGCTTTAGAGTCCCTGAGAATATTTCTGTATAACATTAAAATTACTAAATGAGCAGTTGAACTTACATTTGGAAAGCAAACATCGCACATTTATTATTTAATAAAAGCAAAACAGTCAAAAAATGTGGTGCATCAGGGCTGTGTGGTTGTGGTTTGATCAGACGGTTCTGGCAACAGAAGCAAACTTCACAATTTATTCAGAGATTTTGATGTAAATGTTTTAATACTGTGAAGTTGTGTGAAATCAGTCTTCTTTACTATATAGTGCAATACACAACAGTTTATAGTGAGCAGTGAAGTAAAGGTGCAGATGACTTTTGCATTTTGTATTGTATGATTGTTTGCAGACAGTAACGCACATGCCACAGGCGCTTTTGTGCCACTGTTAGAATTCTTGAGGGCACAATATAGTGCACAGGTTTCAGAATTTGTCTCTCAAATAAAATGTCTGAGTGTAAAATTCATTATGCTGTAGGAATAGTAAATAGGATGTAATTTTGGACAGTGTGATTGGCACACCAAAATGCTTGACGTTACAGTCTTCCAAAAACACAAATACTGAAGGTTCTTATGTAAAATTACCTAAGCAGAAAATTGTGTTTTAATTGTATGCAGAACCCCATCTCTCATAGTAAGAAGCTGAGAGAAAAGTATGTTTTCAGGACTTTTAAGAGTAACACACAGAATGAACAGAAGCATGGAAGCTTTTAATATGTCAGTTTCCTGTTAAACAGCTGAAAGAGGTGGTGCTGAAGAGTGGAAAAGTCCTCCGAGCAGATGTGTGTGTTATCGGAGCAGGTGAAGTCACATATGATGTAAAATGGACCTTTTTCAAATCATTATCTGCAGTGGCATGTATTTACAGTAGATGATGAAATTCCCCCTTGGTGCTTTTCAGTCTGCGGTTCCATGTTGAACCTGTTTCCTCTCCTGCAGGAAGTGTTCCTGCAACAGACTTCGTAAAACAGAGCGGCATCCACATGGACTCCAAGGGCTTCATCACTGTCAACAAGGTATTCTGCAAAGTTTTATACACAACAAAAGCTGCAAATGAAAATGGGTGTCCTATTTGGATAATTTGCTTCTCTGAACTTTCTCCTAGATGATGCAGACAAATGTTGATGGGGTCTTCGCTGGAGGTGATGTGGTAATGTTTCCATTCCCGCCACGCAACAACAAGAAGGTGAACATCCCTCACTGGCAAATGGCTCATGTACACGGTGAGTGTTAGTTTCATCCTGACTGCATTTATCCTGCAGATCTCAGGCTGTGATAATTCACTGTGGTGCTTAAAGACAAGCACCTGAATGTTTTTTTATTTTCAAACTTACTGACAGGAAGGGTGGCAGCTCTCAGCATGATGGGTAGAGCCACCGAGATCAAAACTGTGCCTTACTTCTGGTCGGCCATGTTTGGGAAGACCATACGCTATGCAGGTGGGTGGGACTTCCATTTATCGTTTTGTGCTTTTGTCTGAGATTTGATCAGTGTTATGAGGCAGATGTGCAGTAAGAGAGAGGTCAGAAGCTGAGAAGTGGCTGAATTGCGCTGTGAAGTGCTGTTACTACACTGCCATCTGGCTGTAGATGTAAACAGCTAAGACAGAGGATTAAGCCTTGTTGTTGTTCTTTCTGTTTGTGAAGGTTATGGTGATGGATTTGATGATGTCATTATACAAGGAGATCTGGATGAACTGAGATTTGTAGCGTTTTATACCAGGTAAAATTTATTTGCTGTTGATTCTTAATTTTTCATAACAATCTTAAATAATCTAGAAAAATAAAGTCATATTTGGTCTAACTGTATTTGTGAACTAATTTGAATATTTCCTCATGGCTTAATATTTCTCACTCCTTCTTCCTCCATCTATAGGAGTGAGGAGGTGGTTGCTGTTGCCAGCATGAACTATGATCCCATTGTATCCCGAGTGGCAGAGGTCTTAGGGTCTGGAAAGATGATTAAGAAACGAGATGTGGAGTAAGTCTCCTTCTAAGAATTGAGTCTGGTCACAGTCACAATAGCTATTATGTTCTTTAGGTTTCTTAGATTTTCACTTTGAAGAAAAACACGACAAATGTCACTGGCAGAGAACACATCAAGCTGTGGAACTTTAATCACATGGAAAGTATTATAATAAACCAAGGCAGCAGACTTATTCTAAAAACTGAGTACTATGGAGCAGTAACAGCAGTAGCTGTTTTCACATGCTAAATTAATACAGTGACCCTTTATTTATGGGTTACACGGTTTCCTAATAATTCCTGTTTTAATGTTCTTGTTGGCTACATGTCTGTCTGTGTGTTTTTGGACTAATTTGATTGCAATGTTCTTCATGTCTCATTTCTAATAATGCAAACCAAATACTGAAGAATGTTAGCACGGCTTGGCAAGTACGGAAAAATATGAGCTTTACATTTCACTTATAATAACCACAGGGACCTGCTACTTATCCATTGTCTCTAGACTTGACAAACATGCAGCTGTATGTGTCTAATTGCTGCTTTTTTGTGTCGCAGAACTGGAGACATTTCTTGGTTGATCGACAAAGGCTCTCAATGACTTCACATCTTAAGGTCCCAAAGGACAGACTCAAAGTCCACTGGACACCTCAATGTGGACACTTATGGTGCTGAGACACTGAGCAGCTATCTTGGTCTGGACACGCACACACACACATACACTGGGGACAAGACTGTGTCTGTTGGAGACGCACTTCCTTGAGGACGGCACTGAAACTTGCTTTTGTTCTTTAAAGACACTTTAAGGCAACACATGGTGCAGTGAATCACTGTGTTGGCACGTTTCTTATGATCATATTTCACAACAAAGCAATACTGGATTCAGCCTTTGTGCTGCTGCAAGATTTATCTACGTGTACACATTGTTTATAAGAAGCCAGGGACAGGCACTGGTATCTTTGTACAAATAACATTGTAAATAACTATAATCTTGGATGTACTGTAACAAAATAAGAACATAATATCTGAACTGAAATTTTGAAGTTTTAAACTAAAGATCTGGTTTTGTGCTCGCAAACAGACCTTAGATCTGCATGGTATAACTTACTGTAACAGGAGTTGTAAGAAGCCCCCAAAACAGAGATACTCCACTGTAGATACATTAGCAAACAAAGCTTAAATCTGCAACAAGACAAACTGCATAATCACTTCAGGAGAACCCAGGGTGCAGCCAATTCATTAACACACACACACACACGCAGCTTTAATTTGTGGTCATGTTTAGGATTACAACATACCTCTTCTTATTGGTTGCCTTGCTAGATCGCACAAATGAAATTCAAATTATACTTTGATTACACACTAGTGCTTGCACAATAGATTTATGTATTTTTTTAACAAATAGATATTACCCCTTTAGACAAATCCAATAGCAGCTTAAGGCTATTTTTGATAGCTGTCACCTCCACAGGGACATTTGTTACTAACTCAGGGAACTGAGATTTGTGACCTGGGCATACTGGAGTTACTGGTCCTTATGCAGGCAAAAATGAATTTGTTGCTTTAATATTTTTCCCAGTTATTGTAATTTCTCTCATTTTCATCAGAAATGCTTGCAGTGTACCACAGGGTGCAAAGCAGATGCTTGATTACATCCTGGTGGGTGGATGATCCCAAAATACTTGAGCCCTGACACATAAGTTGACAGAGTGTTTTAAAAATACAGATCTTCATACAGAGAAGCCCACGAGGGCATTTTTATAACTAAAACTCTAAAATAAAAGTCTTCCAACAATAACCACTCACTGCTTTATAAAATCATTAGTTCTAAAAAAATGCTTCATTTGTTTTTGTGTGTGCTTTTTTTTTTACTTTATTAACCAGGAACACAGTAAACACTCAGAGTAAAAGTAAATAAAAAATGTTTAATTATTTTCAAGGAAGTGACTGAGCACAGTTTGCAAGGTTGACTATGAATTGGGTTAACTAAAAAGTCAGCTGAGTTTCATACAATAAGTTTTTAGAAGAATTACACAGAATAGATCAATTCTCACTCAAATTTCACTATTAATAAATGAAATATTTCATAAAACATGATGGGAATAACTTGAAGGCATGTAACTCATACAGTACAAATTGACAGTGTTCACAATAGTATTGCAAACAGCCCAGAGAGGTTCTTCTACATTACTTTGGGTAAAAAGTAGACCAATCTAACATTGCTCTCCTTATAGGGATTCGGAGACCTCAGCTCAGGGTCTCTGCCTGTTGATACCACTTAACAATCAAGTGCTCTTTTCCCAGTTTGACATAGGTCTACCCCACTGTAGCACTGGGATCATTTTATGTAATATAAGATGAGACCAGTGACAACAGTGGTGCTAAAAGTCGGTGGCCCAACATGACTGTATCAGTGCATCTCTAATAAAAAAAAAAAGCACCTGACAAGATTCATAACAAGACTAATAAATATATCTACAAACACTGCAGTGAAGGCACTGCATGGTGTTACAGCCATAAAACACAGTAAATGGATCTACAGACAAGAGGAGTTTAGCATCATTAATACATCTACGAGAGTGACACGGTTCATTGTTCATTAGCTTTAGGAGTCTGTTATCTTCAAGAGCCTGGATTATAGTTATACTATTACATGATATAATGCCCAAGTGTTGTCACACGTTGGTTATTGCTAATGGTCAGAATGAAACACATTCTGGTATCTCTAAGAGACAACATGTCAGACTTCAGGATGGTGCGCTGAACAACTGCTACATGAGGAGAAAAGGTGTATTTGTAAACACTTTCTTTCATAATTTACTATTTGTACTACAAAGACTGAAAAAAGTTTCACATTATTAAATTTGCTTTTGCCAAACAGCTACAATCACAGCTTCTCCTGTACTCAATAGCATAGGCACTTTTATTTTTAAAACGGCTCTTGAGATGATGACGTTGGCAGCGATTGCTGCTGCGTTGGCAAACCCAAAAACACCTTATTATTTGGTGGATGATCTTCTGGTTAGCAAGTCCATCTGGTTCTACTAAAAACACCAAATGATACTTTGATGAGCTGCGTCTCCCAAAAACCTCATAATGTGTGAACAAATGTGTGTGAGCTGTCTTCAGCTTACCCGGATGTGTGAACAAGCGTGTGTGAGCTGTCTTCAGCTTACCCGGGATCAGAGGTCGTATTCTGCTGCACACTGCTGAAGGTACCATTCATACAATTTACTCTGTGGAGCAAAATGAACTATGTGAGATTCAAATTTGATAAATGAAAACATTCATTTTAACCTGCATTAATTTGTTTTCCACTTTCAGCCACTTGAGGGCAGCAAAACAAGCTGAACCAAGCTGACATGTTAACACCTTATAAGTCATTGTGGCAGTAAACAGGTAACAACTGCTGACTGTATATAAAAACTGGACAATCCCGCCATGACATCACCCATTGGTTTACCAAAGAGCGGCTTAGGTCCAATCCATAAATGGGCGAAGAGGTGGAGCGTCAGTGGAAATGGCTAGACAGCTGGTGGCGGGCCCGCCTGTCATTCAAAGCGGCCACGCCCTTAATTATGGATAACCTTTAGCTCCAATATAATTTAAACAGGTGAGTTGGTAACAACAGTTAAAGTTGGGGCCCAAAACAAAACACTGAACTGAAAGATACTAAAATTCTCTGTCAAGCTGAGGGGAACTGCAGAGTTGGTGCTAATTCTCTGTGCCAGGACACCTTCTGCAAAGTAATTTAGTAGTTTAAAAATATCCATTACTGCAGCTTTGACAGTTGTACTCTCCAGATAAAAACAGTTCAGTAGACATTATAGTAAAAAATTAGGATCTAACCTTCTTGGTTTTGACAATATCCTGGATATAATCACTGTATTCAGCCATGGTCGTCTTCTGCTTCTTCGTCAGTGTCTTGGTGTGTCCATCAGGATTTCAACATGTCTTTTAAATTTTTTTATTTGTCCAATCAACAGTCCAAAACCCCAAACAAGAGTTTAGACTGATTCGTGAAAACCTTCCAAATTCAGAAGCTGAAACCAATTCATGTACTATAGAAAAATGTGACTTAAACAATTAACTATAAAACAAATAGTTGCTGATGTACTTGTCACACTTACCCTGCAAAATACTTTGCTAGGAAAAGCAGGAGGTAGCAAAAAGCCCCCAAAATGATCACAAACATAACCTGTCCGTCTTCTGGTATCCAGTCCCATAAATACATGACTATTCCCTGAGACATACATTGAACAGACAGAAATACTATTTTAATGCACAATTATGTGTTGCGTTAACTGACGTGTGCTTAAAATTTGCAAAAATGCTCAGGACTTACTGCGAGGACAGTGAGGGTGCGAGCTGGCCCTTCACCCAATAGCTCATCCAGCTGTTCTTTGGAGAAGGTGTTCACAATCAAACTGAGGATGAAGAGGAGAGGAAGAAAAATGCCCAGAGCACCACACAAGAACGAGTGAAGACGGATGTTTCTCTTGTAAGTCACATCAGCCCTGCACGTGCACACAGAGGAAATGTGATTTTATCCACTGTATTGGATAATATCTGGTGGTTTTTATCAACTCAAAGGTTGAGAAGTCACACCTGTCCTGCTCTAGTCTGTTGCTGATGGTGGAGCAAATTAGGTCACAGTCTTTCTCCAGCTGATCCAAGGTCTTCTGAACGGCCTGGTTGATGGTTTTCTCGATGGTCTGACAAACCGCATCGATCTGGTTCACACACCTGCTCGGCTAAAACAGACAAAGGTTCATAAGTGTATCAGCTGTGGATTGGCCGCAAAAGGACGGTCTGATGTGGAAACTTCCATAATAAACCCCAAGGGTATTTGGACTGACAGGAAGTGAAGCTGCACTTGCTCAAGAAAAATAATATGGAGATCGGGAGACACAAATCTACAATGTGGGGTAGAGCTTTGTGATTGTAGATCACGGGATCTCAGCAGTAACTCAAGACCGGGGCTGACCAAAGGCCATGGTTTACAGCCCTTCCCCCCCCTGCAAAATAAATCATCCTGTTCTCAGCCACCAGGAAACCTGCAGTGGAGAATTTATATTCAAGGATAATCAATGGTTGTTCAACCCCAAGGACAACAGACAACTTAAAATCCAAACCAAAGACTGGGGGAAAACACTCCTGAAGAGGACAAGAATCAGCTCTACAACACCCCACACCAGGAGGGAAAACACTGCATTAGTTAATGCAAGTATCACACTGTTGTTGTTTTATCAGCTTATGAAATACTAAAACTATGAATATTTCAAATGGAACTGCTTTAATTTCATATGAGAAACATGCTGTAAAATAATCAACACGGAGCTTGATTTACCTTCTGTGGATTGGGGATGTATATTGTCGGCATTTCAAAACCACATTTGTTGAGACCTGGACGGCGACACAGTTCCTGGACTATCTGCATCATTACCCTCTACCAAAAATATAAAATAAAAAGCTAAGGTTATTTCCACAAGTTGAACTTAGAATCCTTGGAGTCCCATTAATTAAAAAAGTCAAAACTACAGTACGTAGCAAGTGATCATACCTGTCTGTCGGTTTCCTTCCCAGCTTCATCTGCCTTGCTGAGGTAGAACAACAGCTTGTCTCCACATTTCTCACTCAGCCTCTCCACAATGTTTAGTGTGCGCTTGCACAGTGCCTGGCCCATTGGGTCAAAGAACACAAAGATCAGGTCGGCCTGTTCTCCTGCACAGAAAAAGATAACATTTATAAGAGAAACACAACAGCTTTGTGCAGCGGCACTGCAGTTACAACTTGGAGCTGCAGACACATACCCAACCATGTGATGGCGCTGTTCACATCGAAAGGATAGATCATGTCCCCGTCTACCAAACCCGGAGTGTCCACAAATGTCACCAGGCTGAACTTCTTCTGCTTAGAGGTGGAGATCTCCGCAGACAGGTAGTCGGTAACACCTGGAAGACACAGATGCTGTGTGTGTGTACAGGTGCTCCCTTTAAGGTGTATTCATAGATGACAAACAGAGAGCTGTGTCCCTGCAGGAAGTTGAATGACTATATTATTATGTGCTACTGGAAGCCGCAGTGCTGTCAATACTTGGAGACCTGAGGGAGGCCAGTGACATTAAAAGTCTAGAACTCAACTTTTTGTGCTTACACCCTTGCAGGAATTGTGCATCTTCAAAACCGGTCCTGGTAAAAATGTTAGCTGTGAACATGCAAATCTGTGCAAGTCTAACCTGGTTGAACCTACTGCAGCAGCAGACATGCTCTCACACTCAGTAAATATAGTTAAAGTCAATTTTACATGAAAACCTTGGTTATGTCACAGTTTTCTCACCATCCCCTCTGCAGAGAGGTCTGTTGTCATGGTTACACACAACAGCTCTTCAACTGGCAGCTTTAGCGTGAGGCGTGGGACATAAAGCTAGCCAGTGAAGAACGACTGTGAGGTAACGCACTGCCGGGTCACGATATCCCACCACAACCAACACACATGAGCCAGAATCCGCCCCTCACACCCTGAGCTCTCTGAGCACCAGAACAGAATCACTATTGAGACATACCCTCACTATGGACAAAATCCTCCCCTCTACACACACACATAGAGAGAGGACTGAGATGACACTGAGGCTGCTTCA